AGATACCAATTCACTTTTAGAATTTATGAAAATAAAATAAAGTCATTTCTACATTTTTCTGTCAGCAGACTTTACAAACTGCCTACTTTTACTTTTTACTAAAAGGTTAAATATTGAGTCAATAAGAAAAAAACAAGGTTTCTACAGATAATTAAACGAAAGTGATTAATGTTTCTGACTTGACTTGCTGCTTTAATTATTGAAACAGTGATTTTAAACTTAGTGTGGCTGTTTTCTACAGGAGTCTCAGTCAGATTGTTTATCATGTGTTAAAAATGATTCTGTGGATAAATCAGTACGTGGTTTTATCAGAACGTGATGAAATTTACAGTGAGATTTGATTTTTAATGAATCTAATCAAAAATAAATAAAAACTGTTATTACAAGTTTCTGTTTGATGATTTTCACTTTAAGTAAAACTGCTTCAGAGCAGCTGTGGGTCAGTTCCTCTTCAGCTGAAGGAGGTTTTTGTACAACGTTGCTTCACTGTGTGAGCGGTAAGTTGTAATCCTGCTGACAGTAATAAACTCCTGCATCTGCAGGCTGAACTCCACTGATGGTCAGAGTGAAGTCAGTTCCTGAGTAACTTGCTCTAAAACGATGGAACTCCAGACTGACGAAGTGTTGTATCAGCAATCAGGAGTTTAGGAGCTTCTCCAGATATCTGAAGATACCAGTTCATGTCATCACCTATCAGTGTGTCAGTTTTACATCTGATAGAAACAGTTTGTCCTGCAGCAGCAGACTGAGCTCCTGGAGTCTGAGCCACACTGATTTCTCCTGATGAACCTGGAAATGATAAAAATGAGCAAAAAGATGAATAAACTTTAAAGGAATTTTATATGAAGAGAAGGATGTAAAGTGTTTCTCTGTTATTTAAGATCATCATTGTGTCACGACGTGCGCGGAGTGAAGCGGAGCAAAGGCGAGGATCCAGACCGGGGAGGAAGCAGGCAGACAGGTAGGATGAATTCCACAGGTTTATTAAGTAAAGACGCACGCTAACACTGGAACAATGACACCACAAGGAACACAGAACAGCAGGGGTTTAAATACAAGGGGAACGGGAGCTATGGTGATTGGGAAACAAGAGGCAGGTGGGAGGCAATTAACGGAGACACAGACTACAACCTAGGAGAAGACAGGACAGGGTGTGACAGTACACCCCCCCCCCCCCCTCAAAGGGCAGATCCCAGACGCCCACAGGAACCAGGAGCAGGGCGGGGAGAGGGGGACCCGGAGGGAGGGCCCAGAGGACGATGGAGAGGCGGCAGGGAACAGCAGAGTCCGGCGGCCGGTGCCCGCGGCAGACAAGGCGACGGGCCCTTGGAGGCCGGCGCCTGCGGCAGACGAGGAGGCGATGGGCCCTTGGAGGCCGGCGCCTGCGGCAGACGAGGAGGCGACGGGCCCTTGGAGGCCGGCGCCTGCGGCAGACGAGGAGGCGACGGGCCCTTGGAGGCCGGCGCCTGCGGCAGACGAGGAGGCGACGGGCCCTTGGAGGCCGGCGCCTGCGGCAGATGAGGAGGCGAGGTGCCTCTGGAGGCCGGCGCCTGCGGCAGAAGAGGAGGCGACGGGCCTCTGGAGGCCGGCGCCTGCGGCAGAGGAGGAGATGAGGACAGACTCTTGAGGACCTGCATCTATGATAGAGGAGCTCTGCAGGCTGGGCCGGTGACAGAGTCTCTGCAGGCTGGGCCGGCGACAGAGTCTCTGCAGGCTGGGCCGGCGACAGAGTCTCTGCAGGCTGGGCCGGCGACAGAGTCTCTGCAGGCTGGGCCGGCGACAGAGTCTCTGCAGGCTGGGCCGGAGCGGCCCTCAAAACCACCATCGAAACCGGAGACCATGGAGACGCCGGGCTGGACGGAGCGTCGACCTCTTGAGTGCAGAGAGCATCTCTAGACGAGCCGACTTGGGAGGCGACGTCATCAGACGAGCCGACTTGGGAGGCGACGTCATCGGACGAGCCGACTTGGGAGGCGACGTCCTCGGACGAGCTGACTTGGGAGGCGACGTCATCGGACGAGCCGTCGTCATCAGACGAGGCGACGTCATCGGACGAGCCAACTTCAGAGGACGAGGCGACGTCATCGAATGAGCCAACTTCAGAGGACGAGGCAACGTCATTGAACGAGCCAACGTCATCAGACGAGCCGACTTGGGACGAGCCGACTTGGGAGGCGACGTCATCAGATGAGCCGACTTGGGAGGCGACGTCATCAGCCGAGCCGACTTCGGACGAGCCGACTTGGGAGGCGACGTCATCAGACGAGCCAACTTCAGAGGACGAGGCAACGTCATCGAACGAGCCAACTTCAGAGGAGGAGGCAGCGACATCATCAGACGAGCCGACTTCGGATGAGCCGACTTGGAAGGCGACGTCATCAGACGAGCCGACTTCAGAGGTGGCGGCGACGTCATCAGACGAGCTGACGTCATCAGAGGTGGTGGCGACGTCATCAGACGAGCCGACATCATCAGAGGGGACGTCATCAGAGGAGACGACTTCAGAACAGGAACGGGCGTCGACTTCAGGACAGGAACGGGCGTCGACTTCAGGACAGGAACGGGCGTCGACTTCAGGACAGGAACGGGCGTCGACTTCAGGACACGAACGGGCGTCGACTTCAGGACACGAACGGGCGTTGACTTCAGGACACGAACGGGCGTCAACTTCAGGACAGGAATGGGCGTCGACTTCAGGACAGGAACGGGCGTCGACTTCAGGACAGGAACGGGCGTCGACTTCAGGACAGGAACGGGCGTCGACTTCCATCGACTTCAGGTCCGGGGGCGTCGGCTTCGGGTCCGGGGGCGTCGACTTCTGGTCCTTCGGTTTTCGGACCGTTGACCCCTGGACCGGAAATGGAACCGTCTGCGTCTGGCCCGGAGGTTTCGGCTTCTGGTCCCTCGATTTCTGGACCGCCAAGTTTTGGACCGGATCCTGTACCGTCTGCTTCCGGGTCGGTACCCTCTGCCTCTGGGCCCGCTCCGTCGGCTTCTGGGCCAGTACCGTCTGCTTCTGGCCCGGAGGAGTCAGCCTCTGGTCCCTCGACTTCTGGACCGCCGAGTTTTGGACCGGATCCGGTACCGTCTGCTTCCGGGTCGGCAGCAGGGCCGCTGCTAAGAAAGCTTGGAGCAATGAGGAGAGGCGGGAGGTCAGCTCGTCCAGTTCTAGCTCCCTGAGGCTGAGCGTTCGACGGAGCTGGGCCAGCTCAGCCCGCTGACCGGCGAGCTCCGCTGGGGAAACCCCGCGCTCGCTCCTCTGGCCCCGGGACGAGGAGGATAGGGCGTCCAGCTGAGACTCCTTGCGGCTGAGGAGCTCGCGGAACCGGCCGAGCTCTGCCCGCTGCTCCATCAGCCGGGCCGCGATTGCTGCTCCTTCCTCTGCAACCGACGGGGCCTCCGGTTCGGCAGGAGACGGGACTGGTGGTCTGGCCGGGGCGTGTCCGAACTGCCGCGCCGGGCACGACCAGCGGCTGGCTCGAAGCTCCGTCCAGAAGCGCTGGGCTGTGGTGGCTTCCGGCGTCTCTCCCCACGCCGTGGACAGACTCCGGGGGAACAAATCGCCAGCCTCGTGCCCTCATAGCTGGAGCGATCTGGCAGCGGCTCCCGGTCCAAACATGCCTCCGGTTCCGGGAGGACAGGGAGGAACGCTGCAGCCGAAGGTCGGCGATGCCGGCGGCGGCGAGGCGGGGCTGGGGCTGGAGAGGGAGAAGCCGGCTGGTGGGTCGGGGTAAGCCACTGGAGCAGATTCTCCCAAGGCAGAATCTCCCGGCTGGATCCATCACCGGGTTCGGGTAGTGTCATTCTGTCACGACGTGCGCAGAGTGAAGCTGAGCAAAGGCGAGGATCCAGACCGGGGAGGAAGCAGGCAGACAGGTAGGATGAATTCCACAGGTTTATTAAGTAAAGACGCACGCTAACACTGGAACAATGACACCACAAGGAACACAGAACAGCAGGGGTTTAAATACAAGGGGAACGGGAGCTATGGTGATTGGGAAACAAGAGGCAGGTGGGAGGCAATTAACGGAGACACAGACTACAACCTAGGAGAAGACAGGACAGGGTGTGACACATTGTAGTGAACCTGTTTCCATCCTGAAACCAAGTTTTCATCAGAGAGTCTCACCGTGAACAAGGAGCCCCAGGGTGGTCAGCAGTAGAGTCAGTGACATCATCATTGTGCTGCCGGTGTGTCGGTGTCTCTGAAAGACCTGGACAGCCACTGATCAACACTGACCTCTTAACAGCTGGGAGCAGAGAGGCAGGACACATATGCAAACACACACAGTCAGTCGGCTGATCATCAGCTCTACATGTCATATTTCTACGTCTGTGACCTGCTTTTTGTCTGAAGGAGGTAAAAGAAATGGGATCAAATGAATTTCTGAAGAAAATTCTCATTGGAAAATTATCAAACACAACATTTTAGTCAGTCAGCTGATCACCAGCTGTCTCCATGTTTCCTCCTCTATGATGAGAATCTAGACTTTGATACTTGTTTATGAAAATTAATCAGTTTCTTTTTAAATAGTTTGTTATGCAGAGGTTTATTTGCACAAAAGAGTGAAATGATGTAAAACAGAACGTTATTCATGTCTCGTCTAATTAGGATCAGATTCAGGATAAATCTTCAAATCTTTGCAATAATTTGTGACATTTTTAAAAAAGTGACTGTATTTTATTCATTTTCTTCTAGTTTTCCTGAAACACAAATGGTTGAGTTTTTTTAATGTCCGCTAATTTCATTCTTTTCAGTTATTTATTTGTGCGTTAAGTTTTTCTTTCATTTAACAAAAAAATAATCAACTCTTTAAAATCTAAATGGTTTATTAAATTCAGCTCATGTAATTATTTTATATTAAGATGAAATATCATATTTAGTGTTTTGAAGGATGAAAGTGTTGCTACACGTGTTTATGTCATCAGTGAACTGCTGAAGCTTCCAGCTGTTAGTTTCTGTTCAGCCTGACTGAGGGAGGTTTTTGTACGACGGGTTTTCACTGTGTGAACAGATTCTGGCTGTTTATATAATGAAAACTCTGACAGTAATAAACTGCAGCATCTTCAGCCTGAACTCCACTGATGGTCAGAGTGAAGTCAGATCCAGATCCACTGCCTGAAAAACGATCTGAGATTCCTGATTGTCGGCGGGTAGCGTCATAAATGAGAAGTTTAGGAGGTTGTCCATCTTTCTGTTGGTACCAGGCTAATTCATTGTTGTTATAGACATCCTGACTGGTCCTACATGAGATGGAGACGGAGCGTCCCACAGCAGAGCTCACTGCTGCAGACTGAGTCACTGTGACCTGACCTCTGGACTCTGAGGAGACAAAAGCAGAAAGCAGCTTGATGCTTTTGTGGGCTTCATTCCAGAGGGACAGATGTTCATAGAGGAGAGGAGTTGGATTCTCTGGACTTTACCTGTGAAGCAGCAGCAGAGGAGAGTCCAGATGAGGACGCAGATCAAAGTCATGGTTTTGATCAGGAGGATTTCCAAGTCTTCTGTTGTGATGAAGGACAGCTGTCAGTCATCCAGTCTTCAACTCTCAGGACTATAAACTCTCCCAGAGCACTGGAGCATGGTGCTGCTGATGCAAAGTCATGCTCTATGGAAATCTGCTGACTCACTCCAGATAGGACTTGGATCAAAATGACGTTGTCATGTAATAAATCTGCTTTTGGTTATTTCATGTTTGTATGTATTATTTTATTGTATGCTAGGAGGTTTGCTGTAAAATAATTTTTCAGTGATGAAAATAATCATCAGTCAGCAAATTATATGATTAGAATAATGAAAGATTTGCAATTTTAACCCTCTCAGGCTCAAAATAAGTTTTGATAAAAGGACCAACAACTAAGTTCTTCAGCGGTACTTCTGAGTTAAAAATGCTCATGAAACACTTATGTGGAGTAACCAGGTAGGTTTTAATGGTGCAAATCTGCAACGCCTGCCTCAAAAGGGTTAAGGGATTGTTATGTCTTCATCCAGATCCACTTTTCACATCTGAACAATTTTCCCTATTTTAGAATATTTATATTGAAAGAATGTGAAACTGATATTGATTATGTTGGCGGCTGCTCTGTGCTTCCATTAGGATGGAGTCCAATTTAAATTGTTGAATTTAAAAACAACATTATTGTGAAGCAACAGCTCATGTTTTGTTGTTAAGGTTTACTTTAAAGAGTTTATACTTAAGCACCAACAATTGTGCTGCTTTACAAATTTTAAAAGCTAAAACTGGAGCGTTTGTTTGTGTCAGACTCACAGAGCCGTGTCTCTCTGAGGTTTTTGTACGACGACTCGACCAGTTTGTATCACTGTGGTGGACGTTTGGTGGAGGAACCAGACTGGATGTTGGAAGTAAGTTTAAATTAATTCTCTTCTGACTTTAAAATATTGTATTTTCATTGTTTTATTTCTTCTAATAAAGCAATTCTATAACAGAAATATTTTTTAATTGTTTTAGAAAAATTATGATCCAAAATTATCATCATGGTTCTACACATAAAATTGTGTTTGATGTAACATGAATCGACTGTCTGAAGAAAAATGAACATAATTTATGTTTTAGGTGAAGTTTTATTTTGAAAGTTTGTAGTTTTAGTTCAGTGTAACAAACTCAGAGAGCCGTGACTCTCTACAGTCAGAGGTTTTTGTACGACGGCTCAGTTTTTGTCACTAGAACCAGAACCAGATTTCATGTTGGAGGTAAATTAAAGTGATATTAGAAACATAAATATGTGTGCTTTTAAATAGTTTTGGTCTCTGATGAGAAGCTAAAGATTTTAGGCTGATAGTTCAGTAGAGTTATATTAATACTAGCAAGAGTCTGTTTGTGTCGTCTTCTATTAAAATTTACTTACCTCATTTAATATTTATTCAGTTATTCTGAATTAGGATTAATATTTTGTTTTTAAATGGTAAAACAAACTCTGTTAAAATTACAAAAACCTGTAAAAATTTTTTATCCACTTGATTAAAAACTGATGATTCTCTTCTAGCTGATAAACTGACAGGTTTCTATAAAGGAAGTGAAACAAGGTGTGAGAGTCAGACTGGTGGAGCAGAAAAACATCTGCTAGAAACTTCCTGATGAGAAAAAGTCAAACTTCTTCTGTCCTCTAACCTGATTGCTGTCTCCTAGGTGATACCCGTCCCATCCTGACGGTGCTGCCTCCCTCCAGTGAGGAGCTGCAGCAGGGGAAGGCCACGCTCACGTGTCTGGCCAACAAGGGCTTCCCCTCAGACTGGAGTCTGTCCTGGAAGGTGGACGGCAGCAGCAGCAGCTGGGAGGAGGACAGGAGCCCCGTGGTGATGAAGGACGGCCTCTACAGCTGGAGCAGCACCCTGAGGCTCACTGCAGACCAGTGGAGGAAGGTGGGCTCTGTGACCTGTGAGGCCACCCAGGGCTCCCAGTCTCCAGTCTCAGAGTCACTCAGGAGAGACCAGTGTTCCCAGTACTGATGGGACTCACTGCATTAACTCTCTTACTTTTCTCAATCTACCATCTATAACAACTTTTTAATTTTGTTTGAAATGCTTTAAAGGTTTTGGAGAAATAAAAAAATATGTATCCATCAAATCCCTGTTTAATGTGGTTTTTATTTATACAGAATGGAATTTTCTGGGATATTGGGAATTTTCCTCAGCCAAGTTTCTCTTCTACAGACAAACGTTGGAAACCATGTTCTGGAGTTATTTTGCATTTCTGAGTTTTAAATGCAATAAACTCAAATTTGTTTATAGCATCAAGACTGTTTGATTTTTTAAGGAACCTTTATTAAATAAAAATAAAGATATTTCTCTTTTCACTAAGTTATGATGTTTTGAATTGTTAATGTTTTGGTGTTGGGCGGGTTTGAATCTGGTTATATTAAAAATTTGTAGAGAAATAAACCCAAGTCATAAATCACTAGTCTGTAAGCCCTTTTTAGAAGAAAGACCTTGTCAGCAAATCAGAGTAAAACTGCCACCACAGTGTTAAAAGCGCCGTACGGCACGGTGATGCAGGACTTCTGCGGCTCTCGTTCCGCTATGGTTGGTAATAATATTGCCAAAACTCCGGACTATGCTTTGTCACAACAGAGGGTGTTGTCTTCATCATGTGGGGAGTTACTATCGAGCTCCAGCAGGCAATTATATGAAAAATTAAACACAGGCCGTAAGTTTTGTTTTTGTAAACAGAATAAGCTGAGATGATAAAATGGAGTGATGCAGAGCTCTAGGAGCTTCTCTGTTTTAGCTGGAGCTCAGACCACTAGAGGTTTCACGGGGACTGAGGAGGACAGACACCTTCAGGAGCAGCTCATCAAAAACACTATGATCGTAAATAAGCAAGTTATGTCCAAACATGAACGGATGTCCGTGGTAGAGACTGTTCCCATACCCTCTATAGGCCACCACTGTGTAATCTTTTGTATAAGGACATGATTGAGCCACATTATCACCACGGTCTGACCACTTAAAGCTCCCTGATGCCGGCTCAGCATTGCTGCAAAATGTCTGCATTACTTTTTAAATGAAGCTATTGGTCTAACAGCGGCAGTTTTCTGTGATTTAGGAAAAATACCTGACATTAAGGAACGGTTAATAATTTTCACTACATCAGCTTTTAAGCAGCTAAAAACATTTTAGAAGTTAGTTGGCAGGGTGTCCAGACATCAGGTAGACGAGTTTAAGGCCTTAACTATGTTCTCCAGTGTTTTAGCACTAATCACACTGAAAGCTGGCATTCTGGCCACATTGTTGTTGTGTGGCTTTAGCTGTGATCTGGTTGTGTTAGTTGATGTGGAGAAATAAGATTTTCATCTGATGTTTTTCTCATTGAAAAAGGATGCAAACTCATTAGGCTTAGTTTGGGAAATTAAATCAGGGTTTAACTGTGATGGGAGATTAGTTAACCTCTCAATAGTAGCAAACAGAACACAGGAATTGTTAATATTATCAATAATGACTTTGGAGAAAAAGGCTTATCTTGCTTTATTTCATTCAGAATTGTAAGTGTGCAGCTGCAATTTGAAGGTTTTGAAGTGATCTGATAGGTTACTTTTTCTGAACTGACGCTCACCTTTTCAGTATTTTCTTTTCTGATTTGTAACTGGTTTAGTAAACCTCCATGGAGCTGTTTGTTTGCTAGAGAAAGGTTTGACTTTTTTGGGTGCAATGGTGTCAAGGACTTCAAGAGATTTTTTTTTTACCGTGTCCTGTCTGGCTGTGAAGCAAACATAATTGATGTCTGAATGCTGGTAACAAGCCTTACAGATTTACTCTCAGTGGAGCATCAAAGCGTCTGCTTTTAATGTCACGCCTGATACTTAAAACTTTATTGTTGTTGTTTTTGAATGCTTTGTACTTCCGACCAGACACGGAGTCAGAGGTGAAAGAGAAAGGAAAAGACAAAAGGTGGGGAGAAGGGGAGAAGGGGGTGGGGTGGGGTGGGGGGGATTCCACAAAAATAAACAATAATTAACAAGAGTCTGCTTCTAGACCTGCAGAAAGAGAAAGAATAGAAGAAAAGAAAGGGACACACAACAATACATCAGGAGCAAGCTATCACCGCGTCAACCTGATGGTGAAATATAAAATCAACATTATTTAACTGAACAATCACACGATTATAAATCATAGTGCATGTAGTGGCAACGACAGCCTTAAGACATGTGTTTAACGTGCCCAAGCCCATACTTTTGAGAGCACCATGTGAGCACCTGTGTGTGTACACGCGCTTGTTTATATAAGGTTTCTCTATAGGAGCGTCCAACAGAGAGTGTGAGGGACCACAGATCCGCCCCCCAAAGATGCGTAGGAGACGGGGGAACTCCAAGTCCTGAAAATATATATCTCTCATATAAGCTCTTTCATATATTATTATAAGCTCTTTTATATGAACAAATATGTATCTCTCACTTATGCTCCTTATATATTATCATAAATACATTATTATATGCCTTTTCATGGAATCTTGTTATAATATCGAAAACCTCTCTGTGCCTTTTCTGCTCAAGCTGAACAGCTGCATAAGGGAGTGAAAGTGTTCCTTCCTTCATTTCCTCAATACAAGAACAACTGTCTTTGTTAGCAAAGGATGTTGCAGGATGTGTCCTGATCATCTCAAGGTTGCATGTCCTTGGGATGAATTGGTCTTTCATTAACAAGGCTGTTAGCTGACGTGCGTCTGCAGGTGCAGATGGCAGAATTACGTGTGTGTATGGCAAACTACGTATGTAACATTCCTGTAATCTTCAATAAAAATCAGCCGTTTTCAGCAGAACGGCGAGAGTCTGTCCGAAGCATCTGGCAAGAGCAGGTCGCGGGACTTGCTGCAGAGACTCTCCCCCTCATGAGCGGTGAAACAGTGAATGGACTTCTGATCATTTGTCTCCTCGTTCTGACAACTTTAAAGGTGTTTAACTCCATCTACTCCGTACCCGTGCTTGGTCTAACGGAAGAGAGACCAACAAATTTGGCGTCACGAACAGGATTTTTTCTTTTTGAAGAAAAAGGAGTTTTTGGAGGATGATTCGACCTACTGACCCAGCGAACGATCTTGGCACAGAACACTGCGGTGGAAA